TGCATGCACATATTAATGTAGCTACACAACACACGACATGCATGCACATATAAGTGTAGCTACACAGCACACCACATGCATGCACATATCAGTGTAGCTACACAACACACCACATGCATGCACATATTGTGTAGAGCCTGGACCAACGCATTGCAATGGTTGCTCGGTCTGTCAGGATGACCTGCCCGTGGCTTGAGTGTGGTGACATACCCCACAATCATACACAGCAGCAAGGACAACAACTCCATCTTCAGTCCATGGCGCACCATATCCCAGTCCAAAATCATAGTGCCAAAGGTGAAGGCCAAAATGGGACCCACTGAGGTTCGGAGAGGTGCAGACAAGAGATGGGTGAGTGCTGCGGTGAACTATATAACGGACATGAACTAGAACAAAAGCTCATACGCCGGTGTCTTGGAAAAGTACTGCAGGAATATATACACTACATAGGCATACATATCTACACATATCGCATTGGTGCACACCCCATGGTATACCACAGACATACATACACAAAGGACTTAGGAAATACTTTTATACCACAGACATACAAACACACAAGACTTAGGAAATACTATTATACCACAGACATACAAACACACAGAATTTAGAAACACTCACACAGTACAATAGTACACGTACTTATGGGTGAGATCAGCATCGAGGCTACAACAGCCACCACACTATTCGCAGCCAAGCCAACCCCCGCCACTACGGCGGCGATGATGACGAGAGAGATGTAGTCAAAGGTCAGCGCAGCTGCAACTTCCACCTGTGCGAGCACCTTCTCCATCACCAGACGTGAACGCACACTTTCCTGTTGTGTTGATGTGTAGTGGGATGGATAAAATGAGTGGAGACATACGATACGACGTGAACGCGCACTCTCCTGTTGTGGTGATGTGATCACAGGGACGGAGGGTGTGTGTGTGTATTGTTGATGTGTAGTAGGATGGAAACATGGGTGGAGATATACGATACGACGTGAACGCACACTCTCCTGTTGTGGTGATGTGTAGGAGGATGGATAACATGAGTGGAGATATACGATACGACGTGAACGCGCACTCTCATGTTGTGGTGATGTGATCACAGGGTCGGAGCGTGTGTGTGTGTAGTGTTGATGTGTAGCAGGATGGACAACATAAATGGAGATATACGATACGACGTGAACGCACCCTCTCCTGCTGTGGTGATGTGGAGTGGGATGGATAACATGAGTGGATATATACGATAAGGCGTGAACGCACACTCTCCTGTTGTGATATGTAGTGAGATGGATAACATGAGTGGAGATATGCGATAGGGCGTGAACGCACACTCTCCTGTTGTATTGATGTGTAGTGGGATGGATAACACGAGTGGATATATGCGATATGGCGTAGGAAGTGCCATGTGATTGGACAGATGAGGACATAGGGCACTCCGTTGAAGTGATGATACCGAATATAACTCGGACTGAGAGGTCGATGATGATGTTGGACTTCTGCATTTGGCATAGTTCTTCAATGCTCGCATATCCAAGAAGGTCCTGTACCTATGCAATCGGTCTTATTATTGAGTGTTGTCTACACTACACACACCATGAACTTAGCCTTGTTGTTATTGTTATTGTGTCTATTCTCCACTAAACATACCATGAACTTAGCCTTGTTGTTATTGTGTCTATTCTCCACTAAGCATACCATGAAGTTAGCCTTGTTGTTATTGTGTCTATTCTACACTACACACACCATGCACTTAACCTTGTTGTTATTGTGTCTATTCTCCACTAAGCATACCATGAACTTAGCCTTGTTGTTATTGTTATTGTGTCTATTCTCCACTAAACATACCATGAACTTAGCTTTGTTATTATTGTGTCTATTCTCCAGTAAACATAACATGAACTCAGCCTTGCTGTTATTGTTATTGTGTCTATTGTCCACTAAACATACCAAGAACTTAGCCTTGTTGTTATTGTTATTGTATCGATTGTGGGAACCCCG